CTGTCTCTCCCTGTCTCAAAAATAAATAAAACGTTAAGAAAAAATTATTAAAAAATCAATCAATCAATTGTAAGCCGAGATCATTTAATTTTCAGTAATGGCTACGTTTAATAACTGGCTCACAAAATGCCCGGAAACATAACACTCTGTTCTGGCGAGCAGGCTTGAGCTGGCCCCGGCACACCACAGCCAACGCTCCTCTGGCCCACAAGTCTGCCAGAGTGATCGGGTGAGTGAGAGATTTCAGGAAGACAGGGCCCTGAGAAGGACTGGATTGGCTTCTGGTGGGAACAGTTGGGGAGAAAGGGTTCTTTCCCCGGGACACCAAGAAAGCCAAGTCTAGCTGTCTGCCGAACCACGGAACCAGCTTCAGCTTCAGCTTCCAGGAAGGGGGCGGGGCTACGACGGCCCTCTCCGGGACAGCCAGTTCTTGTCCTGATGGCCCTGTGACTCCGGTTAGTGCCGCACCGTTTAGCTCCACGGTCTCTGGGACCAGAAACCATCGGTGCCTGGACTCTCGGGGGCAGCGCAGTCTAGTCAGCTGGCTCTGTCCTAACCCCGTCACCCTGTGTCATCAAGCCCTCTCCTCATGACACGAAGACAAAACTTTCAGATGCTCACCCCAGCTCCGATTCCTTCAAACCTGACCCTCACCACTGGGGGTCACACAGCTCTCCTGAAACACGGCACACTGCCACAAACTGCTCTCGGTCACTCTGACTCACTGAGTGTTTCGAAAACAAACTTAAGACAGCCAGAAGATACGAGAATCGGCTGTTCGTCCTAGGGAACTGACGTCTCTCCCCCCTTTCCCTGCCCCCAGGGATCGCGGCTTTGACGTATTGGTATGATAAGAACAGGGAAACTGAGGCACTCGAAAAAGGGCAAAGGGGTCAGCCAAAAGTCAGCCGGAGAAAAGCCGGTGGTGTAGTTCCAGCTCCAAAGCATTTCTGCTAGATAAACCAGATCTGGATGGATTTCAAACATCCCTTGCCACGTCCCTCCGTCCTCCAACCAAAACGGTCCTTGCATCCTCAACACCCTCCTCCCCGGGGGTTTTGGGGGCAGCAAACTGGCAATGCCCCAGGCTACAGCATGCCTAGGTCCCGTCAGCAGGCCCCTGTTCGCCCTCACACCTGCAGATAGGTCTTGTATTCAATGAGCTTCTCGGTTCCTCGGTGCAGCAGCCCGATGTGGGGGTCACACTTGCGCACCATCTCCCCACTCAACTCCATCACTAGTCGCAGGACTCCATGGGCTGCTGGGTGCTGGGGCCCAAAGTTCAGGGTCAGGTTCGTCACCATCGTGTCCTTTGGAGGGTCCACATCTGAGAAGTGGGAAATAGTTCAGAGCCCAATGGTGACTCCCCGGAGACAGCAAGGAGTCAGCCTCTCCCCGTCCCTCTTTCACCTCACCAATCCACACCTTGTTAACTTCCCAACTGCCAACATAACGGGGAAGAAGACCATCACACGGAAAAACGGGAAGGGAGATCGAGATTTTCTCATGAGGGGGGACCATGCACAAACCTTGCTCTTTCTTTTTCTGTTAGAGTTTATTTACTTTTCAGAGACAGAGAAAGCACCAGTGGGGGAGGAGGAGAGAGAGAGAGAGAGAGAGAGAGAGAGAG